CAAACAAACATTAAAAAAAAAAAACAAAAAAAACCTGTTTAGAATGAACCCAATCCCTTAAAAGAACAGACATGGTAACTTGCATTTCCAAGTTGAATTCCCAACAGCTTGTAACCTGTATATTCTTGTCCTAAGCGTTAAGGCCCCCGAAGGGTACGATGATAGGAGACTAGGATTCAGTGGGCAGAGAGGGAAAGATTTGGTCCTGGGGTCCCTGGGTGGGGAAAAACACCTATTCTGGGACAATGCTGAGAGGGTCGGTCGGGCCACAGCAAGCCCCCTCAGGCGTAAGGTTCCTCTTAAGAATGGAAGAGAGCCCGCCTACCCCCCTCGGGTTTCCCCTCTGGAATGTGACCCGAGACCTAAGTGTGGCCTCAGGCCACCCCTTGCACAATGGAAACAAGCCAATGGGGAGTGGACAACCCCTGCCTATGGCTCTCAAGCCAATAAGGGTAGAACCTGGGAAGGAACAGGAAGGGAAGGGGACTGCTGACCAGAACCTTATAAAACAAGGACCCTCCCCTACAGTCCTTGGTGTTCACGTCCCAATGTGCCTTCTCTGTAAAGACAGCTTTCCTCCTTCCAGATCTTCTACTCTAATAAAGTTTTGCCTCCTGCTCATTTTGTGTCCCCCTTTTCCTTCGTCGAAGCGGTGAGACAGCGAACCCCAGGTATTGTGGTAAAAAATCCTGCAACACACTTCAGATTCTGGAGCAGGGACCTGAACCAAGAGGAGTGAAAGTTTACCCGTTTGCTGCTCAGAGGTGCTCGGGCCCGATGAGGGCCGGTGCAGAGCTGGGGCCTGAGCCCTGCCTCCTGTTGGGACACAGGACACGTGGGCAGGGCCACGTCACCTGTAGGATCCTCGGAGGCCAAAAAGGAAAGGAGGCTTGTCACGGGTCACACAGCAATGAACGCCACCCAGACATATCTATCCCCCGACACCCAACTTGTCCAGGCCGGAACCATTCAACCAGACGGTTGAGGGTGGGCGCTCCAAGGGTGCAGGGCCCCCAAGGAACCGCAGAGTCAGGGGAGGGGCCCCGGAGGAGGCAGAGCTGCACTGAGGCCAGATGAGAAAGAGAGAGAGAGAGCAAGCAGGGAAGGGGCAGAGAGAGGGGGGGACAGAGGATCCAAAGCAGGCTCCACGCTGACAGCAGAGAATCCAAAGCCGGGTTCAAACTCATGAATCGCGAGATCATGACCTGGGCCGAAGTCAGACACTTAACTGACTGAGCCCCCCAGGTGCCCCCCGCCAATGTGTTTTTACAGACCAACCCTGGGACTCTGCCAGGTCACCCCCGAACCCCTGGAGACGAGCATCTGTCCAGTGGACCTTCCCGATGGGGGCACCAGCACAGACCATGGCCTCCCTGCAGCCTCCCCGCTCCCACACTCCACAGTTGCCAGGCCCCCCCCCCCCCCAGTCCCCCCGCCCTTCCCCTCCTGAATCAGCCTCACCCTCTCCCTTCAGGACCATCTTGCCAGCCTCCTCCTGGGCCTCTTGACCTCTAGATTCTCTAGTCCCTCCACCCCACACATGGAAGCAATCCGGGTACCCTCCTGGCTAGAGTTCTCACTGACTTCCTATTGCCTAAGAGACGAAACCCGAACCCCATTACTTGCCTAGAAAGGGGGGAGCCCTCATCACAGGAGGGGAGCCACCTAGAGAGCTGACAAGGCCCAGGGACCACGCCTGCCACCTCTCCTGGGGGAAGATACTTCCTCTCCAAGAGTAGGTCCTGAACAATGAAAATGTTTTGCTTTAATCTCCTTGTAGACACAGGCCCAGGTCCTGAGGTCGGTTGGTAAAACCCAGGCCAGGACAAGGAGGGACAGGGAAGTGGGGCTCTCTCTGGGCTCTGGGGGCGCCGGGAGGAACTGAGATACAGGTGGCCCACTCCAATGTCAGGCCCTGCACCCTCAGAAAAACCTTCTTGTTTCCAGGCAAAGAGAGATACTTGGGGATCCTTTGGGGGACCCAGAGAGATGCTGTCGGCTGCGCACCCCCCCTCCCCCCGCCAACCCGGCTGAATCACTTGGAACAGCTCCAGGACCCGCAGAGCTCTGAGGGAGGTGATAAAGACGGGGGCCTGTCTGCTGCTCACCGCACAAACACAGGGAGGCTGGGGCCCAGAGGGGGCACGGCATCGGTGGGAGGTTGCACAGCAGGAGAAAGAGAGTCCCTCTGTTGGCTCAGCACTTAATTGGGTTAGGGGTGTCCATCTCCCCACACACACACCCTCCAAAGCAGTGAGGAGACTCACCACTGAGGCTCAGAGAGGCTAAGTGACTCACTCAAGGCCACAGACCCCGGGAGTGGTAAAGCAGGGATTCGAACCCTGGGCTCCCATGCACTCGCATTCAGTGCTCCTCTGAGAATACAATGGCCTATTCTTTGGTGCTTGGAACTGTAAAACTGCTTTGCTGGAAACTTTCCCAAACATGTGGGGACTGACAGCACAGAGGCTGCATTCTCTTCCTGCAGAGTTCTGCCGAGAGGGGAGGGGACAGACCACGAGGTCAAAGGCAGGAAGAGACAATCAACAGACCCAGGATGTGTGGAGCCAGCACCTTCCGGCCCCTCTGTCCAGCCCCCCAGAGGGACACGGTAGGGCCCCATTTTGCAGACGAGGAAACGGAGTCTCCGCGGGGAAGTGGCCCATCCGTGCCCTGCTTCACTAAGGGGCAGAGCCAGGCCTAGAATCCAGACAACTGTACGGGAAGTACCTTCCCTGGACATGCTGTGCAGGCTGGCAGCTCCTGGTGCAGGCGGGTTCCTGCTATAAATACAGTGTTGACTCCTGGTAACCTTAGCCTCCAGGCTCCCCTGTCCAGGCACAGGGCCATGAACCCAGGAGCCGACTGCCTGCCACTGTGCTCCTGATCTGTGAAATTTTCCTGACACGGTGACAAGGCACCACATTTTTTTTTTTTTTT